ACGAATATTACGTCGAGACAGAAATACTGTAAAGCTCCCATGCGGTAGCTGTAGCCGCCTAGTTCTTCCATTTTTCCATGAAGAGCGGAATATTCGACCACCGTTGAGAGTAGACGCTCTCTCAAGTTAAACGGTTTCCTCCTCATCAGCGAAGAAAGGCGCTCGGCTTTCTGGCGATATCTGGAATGGGAACTTTGGTCTGGTTAACCCACAGGGTTCAAAAATCGTACCAAAGAAATGATGATGGTTGGGAAGAAAGTCGAGCCTTCTTGCCATAAGTTGTTTTTTAAAGCTCTCACTTCCAACGAATGACCACGCTCGCATCTCTTCATTGACGATTCGCGATATAGAACGCCAATTTTCACAGTTTTTTTTTGCCTTGCAAGGGGAGCGAACCCTTGCTAGCACCTCACGTCGTTTGAGGAAGTATTGCTCTCACGCTGAGGCATGTTCATAGACCTATATGCTCAATCACACAGCCCAAGCTAGCATTGTTCGAGAACTCTACACTGCGTTCAATAATGATACAGCCACCTAAAATTTGTTCGAAAACTTAAAGTTCATAGAGTTTCTGAAAAACTGTCCAGATAGAAAATGTGACAAATTTCATGGCGAGTTCAGATATCAACACAAAAATCCATGTTGAAAACACTAAAAAATTTTGTGCTATTTTTTCAGAAGAGGTCGATTTTCCTATGTTCAAAAATGATACAGCCACCCCGTGTTTCTTCGTTGAAATTCATTTTTGCTTCATGAAACTGCTTCGCAGTTATCAACTTCAACTCTACTTTACTATTTTTTGGTGGTCTTTGGGCTGTTCTACAACCAAGGATGTCTAGCTGTTTGTTGTTTGTTGTTGTACCGCCCTAATTGGTGCGTATCCCGCCCCTGTGGGAGGAGGTCTGCCCGGCCTATGTGTGTTGTGTACTTCTTTGTCTCATGCCCCATCCATCCCAAACTTGGCCCGTCTCTGTGGTTGGTTTTGCAGGTAATAGTAAATTTCATGGCGGACGGACAAACAGACACAATAGACCGACTCAGCACATTATATACAGTAGGGATGAGTGGTTGTGAGAATGGGATCCGCTAAGTGTTTTCCCACTGAAAGGTCACACCAATTGGAATACGTCACAATTTCAAATCGAGCAACAGTTGCTGATGAGATGCCGTGTTTCAGCAAAGTGTAAAGTCGGCAGCGGGAAATTAAAGTTACCGCCAAGAGTCGATACAAGACAGAGCTTCTCAACCAAGGTCTTGAGGAGAGGATCACAGTTGTGTTTTTTTCGAAACTGGAGACAACAGCATTAAAGACGCACGATTATTTTCAGCGACAATGTCAAGTACAATTCGATCACCACTAAGCTCCATCAATTTTTGCACTCGTTTTTCCCCTTTAAAATTTTCCTACTTCAGAGCTTACAATGAACCTCGATCAAAAACAATATATTCCAAAATGATGCCTTTTCTGCTGTGCGTCTTTCTCAGCTCCTACTCAGCCCACTGCTACAAAATCCTCATATTTTCGGGACCATATGGTCGCTCGCACACGAGTTTTATGACACGCATAGCTGATATTCTTCAAGAAGGCGGTCACGAAGTGGTGAGTGAGCTAAGCGCT